AATGAGTGTGAGTGTGAGTGTGTGTGTGTGTGTGTGTCTTACATGCAGGCTGGGGTGGTAGGTGAGCAGTCCGTTGTCACACAGCGTCACGTACTTCTTCTTCCACTCCTTGTTGAGGGATTTACCGCTCCTCTTCAGCAGCATGCCCTGCAGACAGAACAGGTGTTTAACCCACAGTTTGACACTTTAAACGCTGTTTATACTATGTATTGAAATTATTGCTGTTAGAATTGGAAATACTCCATACATAACAGGTTTAAAACCAAACGGGATAGAAACAAATATAGTACTGTATGCAGATGATGCAACGTTTTTTTCTAGATACATGATTTATATCTTATTCTCCAACTTTTCTAAATTGACCAAACTTAACAGAGTAGGACCGTTGAGAGACAAATGGACCAACCAAACAGCAAACAAAAATTGTCCTTTGGAATAATAAGCCTGATGAGATCTCAAATCAGTAAGAGCACTTGTTTAATCTAAAGTGTTATAGTAAGCTGAAGCTGAAGACACGGGTGTCCGCATACTTTTGGCCATACATCACACAGTCTGAGTTTCATTGTGTCCTATTTGTGCATTTTTACACCATCTTGATCCTTCGATTCTGCTCTTTGTGCACATTGGAGCTAAATTACATTCAGAGGCTTCGGAGCGAAGATAACGAGCTTATAGCCAGAAGAGGGATTAAATAAGAGCTCATCTCTCCACAACAAAACATTTTAACGTCAGACATTTGCACCGGAGCTGAAAGGAGCTGGATGTAAAGCAGCGAGAAGAGAAAAGATGGAGAGAAATCAGCAGTTATTTAATTGTCCGACTCGTTTCTTTTTCTCCCTCTCTCTCCTACGCACATCAGCTGCGGCTGACTGACCGTTTAGGCCGAGCGACCGCCCGCTCGCCCGCCCACACTTCATTTGAGCCGGATTCATTAGGTTAGAGAGAGAGAGAGAGCAAGAAGGTCAAAGAGAAAGCGAGAGAGAGGGAATCGAAATGGGAGAAAGAAGAGAGATCAAAAAGAGAAGAGAAGGGGAGAGAGGTAGGGGGGAGAGTGGGAGGCGGCGGCGGGGGATAAAACTGTCCGCTGATTAGCAATTACAGCCGTGCTGCCACGCGTGTCACTTCACTGGACCTCTACAACATTAACACTCCGACAGAGGATATTAATAGAGTCCAGCCGTGAAGGGAGGAAGGGGGGGAGTTAGAGGCACCACTGAAGAAGAGGGGGAGGGGAGGGAGGGTGAGATGGACAGGCCGGCTGATGGACAGAAGCCTGCTCTCCGCCCGCCCCGACCGCTCAGCTTTCATTAAGGCGGTCGGTGGTGGTGGGACAGAGCGGCAGGCCCGGGGTCACCCTCGCCGCCAGTGACGGCAGATTCGGTGTAATTGGCGGTGACATAACGCCAGGAAGGAACGCCTCAGAGTGACAAAGAGGGAAGTCGAATGCGGGCGGTGGTGGAGGAGCCACGAAACAAATGAGCCAAATCTGTCAACGTCTAAAACATCGTCCTAAAATAGTGTAAAAAGTGAGACGTTTGACAGCAAATCATCCAGTGACAGAAAGAACATCTGGAGAAATTAAATATACTTTCCCTGTGTTCCCCTGAGTGTACGGGCCAAAACATCTTTAAACATGGTAGAAACATTTGTCCCGCCTGGTGTTGGAATCCTTACGAGTGAAATACTGCCACACTTTTAGCTCAGCAATTTAACCATGATTAAGGTAGCTATGAGCTAGTGGTAGGCTACCTGCAGCCAGAGCCATGTACACAGAGTTGCCATAACGTTAACTAGCGAAGGCAAAGTGCGGTGAGGCCTCTGTTACCTGCACCAGAGGGCAACTATGCCAATATGCCTAACAAAATTAACATGCTAACACACTAGAGTACGATGTCAACTAAGGTAGATATGATGCATTGACTGAAAGCGCCTTATACCCCAGGGGGCCGTAACCACAGGCCTCAGCAGACTCCACCAGGGTTACACTCTGCGTCTGGCTCGGCCAAACTGTCGTGTCTCTCAGGGACTGAAATTAATTCAGTGAAACCGACATTTAAACGTCATTTAACCAACTCAAACTCACATCTGCTGCATTAAAGTTGTATCAGTCTTCAACAGCCCAGAAGGACCATCACTACATTATTGTGCTCTTTAATGAAAATAGAAAAATGGAAAAGATTCAGTCCTTTTCTAGTTATGACACCTCTAGTTTCGAGCAGTAATGTTTGATATTTAACAGACCAATGCCTGTGAAGCTCTTTATCATCATTAACTAATAAAAAACATCAATATTCGTGTGGAATAACAAGAGGAAGAACTGTTTGCCACCTATGGAGAGCCAAACTTTAAGAGCTGCTCATCTAATCTGATGCAGAAGAAGTGTAGCATCAGTTACAGCCTGAACAGAAAACACGTTGTTATACATCTGTAGAGCTTCATCAGGCCAGTAATTTCGCAGCGTTTCCACTAATTTGAGCTCGTGTCAGGAGGAAGTAAAGCAGAGCAGTGTGTGTTTGTGTGTGTGTGTGTGCGCATTGCTGCAACAACAGGGGTTCCCCACGGTGCGCTAAACGCGACTTGACGAGCTTCCCGCTGCTCTGAAGTGAAAGCTGCCGGCAGCCGTGCAGCTGTCAGGCCAGCTGATCATCCATTACTGCCTGTTAGTGAGCGAGCGGCAACATGTTTCCAGGCAGAGAGAGACAGAGGACAGAGAGGAGAGAAGAGAGAGGAAGAAGAGAGAGAGAGAGAGAGAGAGAGAGAAGAAGAGACCAGAGAGAGAGAGAGAGAAGAGAGAGAGAATGGTGTTTACACTGTCATCAATTAGGATTTTTTTTAGGTCAGCTCAGACTCATGGGATTTGATCAATTTTAATCAATCAAAAAGCCAATTTCACAGATACATTTACAGACTGAGAATAAAGAATACAGTCAATAATACCAAGTTTAAGTTAGGCCATATGACTTCTATAGAAAGAAAATGTTTGATCATTACAGTATAGATTCAAGTTTATTGCAACTTTGGTGGCAAGTTCTGTGTTATTATTGGTTGTGTTGTTAGTCTGTGCTGTTTATTAAGTTTTATGGGTAAAAATAAAGTAAATATTAATCTTAAGTCAACAGAAGAGACTTCTAAGATTTGAATACAACAAGAAAGAAAGGCAAGAAATAAGAGAATAATTACCATTAGAGGTTGTTGGACATCAAATAAATTTATATTTCAAGTTCAAGAGGTTGACAGTTAGTGCACTGCCTAAAGATGATAGTTGTGTTTTTTCTTCAGTTCATCAGAAAAACTTACAAAACAAAAGCATTTAAAGTGCAGGGATGAATGCTATCTCACACTGTCAACCAATATCCTCCTTTTTGCTTATTATTTTATTGAGAAATCGATGTCTGGAACTTTAAATAAAATAAAGACAAATACACTGAACATTAAACCAAAAAAAAAAAACCCCAGAGTTGACTAAAAAAGCTAAAAACAAAGAGTAAAAACTACTTTTGCACAAGAAGGAAGTCGCAGGGATTAAAAGTAAAGACTAAATGAGAAGGTCAGTAGGATGGTTGAATGATGTTGAAGTGGACCATTGATCTCCAACCACTGCAGGCCGGGACTGAACTAAACTGAGGGGTGAGCCAATATTTCTTGCACTTTTCCATCCAAACCTGGTATTTGGGGAGGGAGACGTCAGCAAATTAATTTTGGCCATCCATCCTGGGGATGACAAGCGATCAGTTTGCTCGAGGGGAAGGCTAATTGAACGCCGCGTCGAAATCCTCCTGATGGGTAATATCTTTCATTATTCACCTCCCCGGGCTTCGTGACACACACACGTCGCCTCTTATTTTACCTTCGGGAAGGGGGGGTGGGGGGCCAGCCATGACAGCTCACAAGGTCTCCACATGGGAAAATAGATGTGGGGAGATAAATACATCCTCAGATATACTCTCTCCTCGCTGTACCGAGGCACTTCTCCGCCCCGGTGAAGTATTGTGGGGTAGTGCTTAGGAAAAGGTCGCTAGCTTGGGGGGCCGAGGAGATGAAGTCATTTGTTAGGCATCCAAAAACGTCCAAGGGCATTACTGAGATTCACAGTTGTGGGTTCTTCTTTAAAGAACAAAAGTCCAAGTGAACACAACTAGGAATGTAGGATTATATCTAATGGAAGAGTCTTCCATTAGATATAAATGCTAGTTATAGATCCCCCAAAACACAAAACTCCTCCGGACACACTCCCTCTTCTTTCATGCTGAGACACTTCTTTGCCTCGGTGAAGTATTGTGGTGTAGTGCTTAAGTAAAGGTCGCTAGCTTGGGGGAAGCCGAAAGATGAAGTCATTCGTTAGACGACGCATCTGAAAATGTTCACAGGCTCATACCTGAGGGTCCCTGATTAAAGACCGCAGAAGTCACATGTCGGACATGTTAGAAGAGGTAAATGTTGGATGGAACGTTGGACGTTATCAGGAAGAAGAGAAAGGTTTGCTCAAAAGTTGCTCAAAACGGTAAAATTCTGAAAAATGACAACAAGAAACCACAAAATTAAACATAATTCCTTCTCACAAACATCAATTACCTTCCATTGTGTGAATCTAAGCAACGCAACAAAGAAACCGCCTGATAAAAGAACTTTTTTCAGGTTTGTTTTCTCCTGGAAGCTGCCTGTCTATTGATACAGACTAATCTACTCTCTAATCACTCAATCACCCCCCTATTTTCCTCAGACAATGGACTCTCCCCAGGCCTGTTGAAGGGAGTGACAGCGGATCTTAGAGGAGATATAGGGGAGGCACTATCTGTGGAAAAGACCCTCCAGAGAACTGGGATGATCTCGAAGAGGCCGGAGCCCTTTTGTTCTTCAATGTCCCTGGAGAGCAGGAGGCTAAATTAGAGGTGTCACCCTCCCGCCAACAGCAGAGCGGGGGATGACGGCGGATGGGAGGGAAGCCGGACGCTTCCCTCCTCTATCGTGGCGGGCCATCTGATCCGGCCTGAGCAACGATCGCGGGTCATCCATCATCCTCTCAGACAGAGCAGAGTGTGTTGGTTTGTATTGAGTCTGAGATCACAGTCAGGTTCTCAATGTGGCTGCTCACAGAAGACAAAAAGGGATATAAAGGAAAGTGTGTCTCACTGGAGGTAAACATCACC